CACCGACAATTTTAACAGGAAAGAAGAAGGAGTCAAAATTAGTTCTGCCTGGCATCCCGTACTCCAAAACACCAAGGCAAAACCGTACAAGATAATAACCCTGCCACTTCCATCTCGGTCGATACCCCATCACAAAATCAGTTCGCGCAGCGACAGCCAATCAGAAGCCAGCGCGTGAATCCGCCCCCTCCACTACCCCCAACCGCGGCCTACAAATGGAGCGGCAGAGTCGCCAACGCGGCGTCAGTCGCCAGTCAGCCAGTCAGTCAGCCAGTCAGTCAGCCAGTCAGTCAGCCAGTCAGTCAGCCAGTCAGTCAGCCAGTCAGTCTAGCAGTCAGTCAGCCAGTCAGTCAGTCAGCCAGTCAGTCAGCCAGTCAGTCAGCCAGTCAGTCAGCCAGTCAGTCAGCCAGTCAGTCAGTCAGCCGTCAGTCAGCCAGTCAGTCAGCCAGCAGTCAGTCAGCCAGCCAGTCAGTCAGCCAGTCAGTCAGTCAGCCAGTCAGTCAGTCAGTCAGCCAGTCAGTCAGCCAGTCAGTCAGCCAGTCGTCAGCCAGTCAGTCAGTCAGCCAGTCAGTCAGCCAGTCAGCCAGTCAGTCAGTCAGCAGTCAGTCAGCCAGTCATGTCAGCCAGTCAGTCAGCCAGTCAGTCAGCCAGTCATCAGCCAGTCAGTCAGCCAGTCAGTCAGCCAGTCAGTCAGTCAGTCAGTCAGCCATCAGCCCAGTCAGTCAGCCAGTCAGTCAGCCAGTCAGTCAGCCAGTCAGTCAGCCAGTCAGTCAGCCAGTCAGTCAGCCAGTCAGTCAGCCAGTCAGTCAGCCAGTCAGTCAGCCAGTCAGTCAGCCAGTCAGTCAGCCAGTCAGTCAGCCAGTCAGTCAGCCAGTCAGTCAGCCAGTCAGTCAGCCAGTCAGTCAGCCAGTCAGTCAGCCAGTTCAGTCAGCAGTCAGTCAGCCAGTCAGTCAGCCAGTCAGTCCAGCCAGTCAGTCAGCCATCAGTCTGCAGTCAGTCTGCCAGTCAGTCTGCCAGTCAGCCTGCCAGTCAGTCAGCCAGTCAGTCAGCCAGCCAGTCAGGACACTTCGCCCAGACCTCGCA